CACGCATGTGTTCATGTAGATATGTTTATATTCTGAAGGCAGCAAGTCCAGAAGTAACGATGCTCTGATTTGTTCTCCCAGCTTCACACTGTATTAGTTGAGGACCTTGGAGTCTGAATTTCACTTTTTGTGTGTTAAAATGTCCTTCTGAAAAGTGAATCCTCTAGGTTTGTCTCCCCTTGTAGGGAATCCTTTCACTAGTAGAAGCCATTGGAACCAGCTAGTTTTAAGGTTTTCTGGGGCAGAAAAAGTAATCACTGAGCAGGTCTTCTCAGCAATCTGTGAAGCCCTTCCTAGCTCATTGTTTAACAAATAATTGACAGGAGGATTACAAGAAGCATTGCTTTATTTCTGGTGCTGGAAAAAAATTTTAATAAGCTCCAAGCTATCATTTGCCAAACATTTGAATGTTGGAAAGTCTGTTTCTTGGATTTCAAAAGGCTAGGCCCCTGGGGACAAGTGACAGAGAACATAAGACCTCTAGCAGGTGAGAACCAAAGCCCCCAGAAGGCCCTAGGTCACAGAAGAAGAGGGGAAGAAGGGCTCAGGGTTGCAGGGAAGTGTGTGCTACTTTGAAAATTAATATGCTTTATAGAAAAGCAACACCATAAGATGCAGAGGCTAAAGTGAGAGAAGACCCTTGGAATAATGACAATAAGATAACATAAATCAGGTGTGGGTGTGTGCATGTGTGTGTACGTGCGTACAAGTGTGTGCGTGTATGTGTGAATATGGTAAAAGTCAGAACTATCTGTGCAAAATGACTGATATAGTTTAAAAGGGTTAAATTTTAGAAATCCATAGCTTGGAATGTCCTTGGAAGTTAGAGGTTTAAATGTTACTTTAGGATTGACATAATGTAATGTTTTAGTAAACATTAATTGTCTATGTTTAAGTAAAATCAGGTTAGAAAAATCAATCAGTCTGCCCTGCAGTGCTGCCTATGGACATGGTTCTAGAAGGCCCTGGACTAAACTAAAATCCTGGCATATGTAGGAAAAGAAAAAAAAAAAAGAGACTTTTCCTATAGGAAAGCTTGCTCATGCTGTTTAGAAATATTTAATTGGATTTCACCTTCAAAATCATTAGGAAATAATGACCCCAGAAATCTTTAACAAGTGCTCTGAGATAGTGCTCTGACCCTGGCTAATCTCTGCACGGTTACATGTGATCACTGCACTTGATGGCTGAAGAAATGAAACACAATCTATTTTAACTGCTTTTTGGCAAAAAGTTTATGTGTACATGGACCTCAATACCTAGGCCAGCTCCCCTGTTTAAGCAAAAATAGTGTTTCTGATAACATATGACATTGGTCCTGACGTGGAAATAGGCCTCTTTTAACCAAAGACTTCAGTGGCAAGCAAGGCAGAGATGGAGAGATGGATTTTACATTCTCTGTACCCGTCTCTGACACAGAACACTCCTAGAACTTTCAGTGTTGGGGGGGTCCAGGTCTACTCACTGGGTCTTCTTCTTCTGCCATAAGAAAAATATGCCTCTGGACACAGTGACCCAGGCATCAGCTGTCCATGACCATGCACAGCTGTGGCTGGACAGGCTCTGGAGACAGTGTGTGACAAGGCACACTCCACCTCCACTCCTGAGTCAGAGTCAGTGCCTTGCTGATGGCTCTCCCATGCTGTCACCTGAGAAAAGCAAGCAGCTTTTCCTGGCTTCAACTGTATGGAGTGAACAGCCTGGAAGAGACCCCCAACAGCCACCTGGAGTGGCCCCCTTGACCCACCAATTCCGCCTCATTGTCATTGGCACATTGTTTAGTAAGTTACAGTTACACACCAGGCACTGAGCTTCCTTCCTGTCTTGTCACAGTGACCCTCCAACAGCAGATGTTGACTTCAAAATTCTGGTTTGGAAATCAGAAACTGATGTCAGGGGCTCTATTTCTTGCTCACTTATGTCAAGAGGTGGGCAGGGGGCTACTCAAAGCTGCTTGATTCCAGAGCTGATGCCTGTTCAATATGAAAACAAGGTCTTCACATTTTAAAAGAAAAATATGCTCTTGATTAGAAAACTATCTTGAGAAGGACTAAGAAACTCCTCTGATAAGCAGTTTAGAATAAAAACTGAACTTAACTTATATACCAGTGTAGAAAGTGAGCTGAAATGCCTTTTAAATACATTATGCTTAGGATAATTGAGAATAGTCATTTTCAGAATTACTGCTCAATATTCCTTCCAAGAAGTATCTCTGTAATTCAGTAGTATTTTAGACTATAGCTTGAGCTAAGCACGATATTTCAATTATGTTGAGAAATTTACCAGGAATCTTTGGCAAACATGTTTACAAACCTTTACAACCAAGTGACAGGGGAGAAGGACTCTACATCACCCAACAGTGGAATCGGATCTGGTTTAGTAATAGCTCATTGATTTTTATAGAGAATCCCATAACGTACTTCAAGTTTTCATTTGGCAAACCACAAGAAAGCCAAAGTACAGAAGATCAGAGTGTATCATGTGACAGAAAGCCACTCACAATGGACCACAAAGGACAACGTGCGTGGAGACACGCTAGAGCAATCCTAACGATCGCTGAGTAGAGAACACACCAGGACACAACGTGAGTTCCATGTAAAGACATTTATTGGTCATAAGGACTTGCTTCCCAAAGTTGTTATTTTCCCCACAGGGTGGTGCCTCTAGATGGCTTGGCTCATGCACTCACCATCTCCCAGGGGCAAACATTTCCTTCCAATCTACCTTATGGCACATGCATTTCTTTTTCTCTCCTTGTGACAGTTACAGAACAGAATAACTTTGGAAAAGGTGTACATCAAAGTGTCAAGGTGAATTGTAGTGAGGGGCTGAACACTTACAGACCCATGACATTCAATCAGTCACCATCATCATGATGACAACAACATTCATGAAATAAAATCACATTTGTAGAGAAAGCAGGCAGGAATGAAACCAAGCACATAGGTTACAACAAGCTTCTATTTCAGTTCAATTAACGTCATTGTCCAAGATACAGAGATACAAAATGACTGCAGTATGTCCACAAAGCAGGATGGTTTTAACTGTGCAAGAGAAAGCAGCACATGGCCCTAGTCCCTAACTCTATACTGTCACATCGACCCAAGACGGAGACCTTGCACTTGGCCCTCTCAGTTCCCTTGCTTATTTGTGTAGCCCTGCTCCAACCTTGACACAAAAATCTTGCTTCCCTTTGGGTCGGCACTCTCTTCAAACTTTGATTATGTCTGTTTGCCAGCACACTTGGCTCCTGTGTTTCTTCTGGAACCGAGCTAACATCACTTACTGCTTTCCCGAATGTCAACACTGTTTGTTTGCCTTTTCCAGATCCTTGCTTTGGGTCAAATGAGCCCTCAGGTTGAAGTGATACTTAATACTATGAGAAATGGACCCTGAAAAAATTAGAAAAATGAGGCAGAACATAGCATAAAACTAAGGAACAGAGCTGTGTATTATTTTGATGACTTTGGAGAAAATGTTTGAAGTATTGATTGTGATTGCCTGAGCTGAGCTCTGAGCCCCTCGTGGAAGCTTTCTGAAACGATGGAGTACAACTACTGCCCTTGGCACCCATGTGTTTTTGGTGCAGAATTGACCACCTGTGTGCTTCCCAGACTCCCTAGAAGATCTGTGGCTATACCCACCTAGTGAGGGGAGTCAAGTGTGTGCTCAGGAGTGGGTCACATGAACTGCTTCATGCTCTCATGACAAGCAGCATGAAGGATCAGAAAGTCACAGCAAGACAGTGACTTGTGCTCCCTCCCCAGTCCCCAGCTGAATTTGCACAAGCCCCACAGCCTCTGGGCTTGCTTCCTTCCCTGTAGAGGGCATCCGATTTGGCTAAATATCTTCCCAGATGCAAAGGCTCTACCCTCACTGCAGTTAGGACATAGGTTCTGTTCCCTCAGACAGCAAATTCAATCAGACTTCTGTGTGCTGTTAGATGGGTTTTTATAAAATGCTGAAATATAGTTCCTGTAAGTGGGGCAGCTCCCCACTCTGCCCTGAGCTGAAAGGTTTGGCTGTGTCTTCCTCTTGCAATCAGCAATATGAACAGAGTTCATGTAGGTGGGGAGTGGCAAGGATCTGCCAGCCCACCCTTCTGTTCCAGTGAGGCACAGACCATGCCCTTGATGGGGACACAGCCTCTTCCATTTCTACACCATTGCTCAACCATGGGAAGAAGTAGAACTGGTGTAGAAATGGCTTACATCTCACTTGCTCCAGGAAACCTTCCTGCTTAGGAGTCAGGAAGCATCTAGACTTGAGCAATGGTTGTAATTGCTGCAGTGAAATTTGTACTTCTCTCACCTGTTGCTGGTCCCTAGGTATTATCCTTATCTAGTTACAAGATGATGTATCTGAAATTTCTGCTTTCCTTGTATCTGCAAGGAGACTGCTAACTGAGTGGAGAGACAGCCAATATGGCTGTTTGACCTAACGGAGATGAGCGGGGACTAAAAGCAAGTAATATGATTGCAGGATAATTGCATTTTAACCACTATTGTTAATTTGGAGCAGGTATCCAAGTGTGTTCTAATTAAAGCCCATTATTGTAATATAAATTACAATTATGCCATGAAAATAATGTATCAAGTTCATATAAGAATCTTTGGTCTCAAAAATACTTTGCCTCCATCATTTGCAGCAGTCTCTGTCATTTCTCAATTTTCTGAGAGTGTGACACAAGTCACAGGCCAGGCTTGGAGACAGCCTCCTTCTCACCCTGGGCTCCACAGCCAGCCTCTACTTCACAAGAGTGGGTGAGGCTTGTGGCTAATGTGTGGACAGCCAGGATGTGACAGTTAGGACAAGCATGCAGTGGACATAGTGTGACTTGATGGCTAGGCCATGTGGACCTGTTTTGGCTTTGGCTCCCAGAAAGGGGACTTCTTGATGGAGTCACAGCCATAGTCATGTTTTAAATAACCTCCTACTACTTTTCAAATCTGAAATTCTCATCCATTTAAGAGAAAAAAAAACTGCTATTTTTTGCACTAAAGAATTAATTTCTTCCATAAATTGCTAACAAACCTAATAGAAATGCCACACAAAATAAATCAAATTCCAGATGTACTGAAAAGCTAGAATCAAGCTGAATGTCTCTGCTTGCCTGTCAGCAGTCTTGAGCCAACCTGGGGGACACTAGGTTTCCTGGCTGTACCTCCTAAGTGTAGACCTCCCCAAAACAACTGTGAACAGGTTTTCAACTCAGACAATAAACAAAATGACCCAGCTTTCGATGTATTTATTTTCTTAAAGAGTCACTTTCAGTTTTATTTTAGAAGAGAGACCTGTCTAGCAATCTGCAAGCTCAGCTGAGTGCTTCCTCCAGAACAGGCTCTGCCCCAGGTTGTCAATGCACAGTTGAAGTAATCCTATCACAGCCATGGGGTACAGAGACCGTCAGCTGAGGGCTGCTCTCCGGACTGGAGAATTCTACCTCGGGGATCAGATGAATGAGCGAGGCAAGTGCACTGTCATCTGGTTTCCTGACTATTGTTGCTTGCAGGGAACTTGAGCAGGCCAGTCCTTCTCAGTACACTGTCTTTTTAGCTATCAGCTGCATTTGTGTATTTGGGGCAAATAAGAAGTGGTAGAAATGAAAGGAACAAGAAAGGGCAGTTTGGTGGCTCAGTAGCCATGCTGGGAGGAGCTGAGCCTGTCCTTTGAGGTGAGGTGGTTCAGATCTGTACAAACCCTAGCACGAGTGTGCTGCTCCCAGGAGGAAAGACTGCCTGAGGAATTGAACATAAGCAGACAAGAAGCGAGTATTAATTCCTAGTGGGAAAACACAGTTGGCCACATGTGAGTTTGACCCCCTTCTCTGCATGTTTTGGGCATTCTCAGCTTCTGGCAACTTCTCTGACTATCCTAATTGATTAGATTTTTGCATTTCCTGCCTGCAGAACACTGTTCCCAAAGCACACGATATGTGTGCAGTGCTTGAAATATTAAAATTCTGTGAAACGCATGAAATGATTCTTAGTGGAAGAGCAGCCCACAATGACTGAATTCTTGAGGCAGTGGATCAGGTATGCATGATTTTATTTAAAATGTGTCCAGCATGATTTTCCACTTGGAATGAACATTTTACCTCTTTCCGCATGTTATTATAAACAGTATTTCCTCATCTCATGGAGCTTCTTAGAAAGGTCTAGGTAAATTAACAGAAGAGAAAAATGAAACTGTGAGAGATTAAATAACAGGAAGTTTACACCACAGCGAGGGTGCTTGCGTCTTGACCTTGGGGGACACACAAGTGACTACTGGGTAAAGAAACAGACCCGGTCATGCAAATCCTCGTAGGATCACTTGGTATCCTTTGGCAGTTCTGGTGTTCCCTGTCACTAGCACATATGATAAAATGAGTCAGATGACTGCATTGAATGGGAGGGAAATTGTCTTTTGCTTTTGGTGGTTGAGAGAAGACAGGGACACAAATGCTCTGTCATCGGAGCACTTCATAATATCTGAAAAGACTGTTCCCTGTGACTGTCTGTCTGTTGCTGGGAGCCCCAGGGGGTGCACCTGACGTCCTGTCCCCCCGGTGACCGCAACAATCCCTGTCTCTCCTCAAATGGCACTGGTTTATCTGTGAACAGCACACACCACAAAATCAGCATAGAGAGCACGTTTTAACCAAGTGGGCAGTTGTAGTTTGAAGTTACTAGAACCTGGCAATATTAGATTTGTGTTTTCATGAGCCACAGGTCATAGCACAAATGAGGTCTAAATGTCGTCACAGCAGACCACAGGCCACAGAGAGAAAGACATATCTTCAAGTTATGTTGACCTGCCAGGAAGAGAAACAGAGATACAGAGCACAGCAAACAGGGGCCGGCAGCGCCCATGATGTGTAGAGCGGTGCTCCTATGGAACATGAAGGGTGCCGTTTACATGAAAATGGAGCGAGCAGGGCGTTGAGTTTCCTGCCGGCTCATTGGAGCTGCTGTCATGGCAAGAGGCTAGGGGTAATGCAGCGGGGTGGGGGGTGGAAGGGGTGGGTGGGCTGCAAACGTCACCATCCAGACATTCGTTCTAAAGTGACTTAGAGATGATCACTCACTTAGAATGGAAACATAATCCCAAAGAGCGTTTGCTCCCTCTTTCGCTCTGTTCATAAATAACTTAAGGGTGTCCTTCAGGTTAGGACGCAGTTCTGGCTGGAGTAGAAAAGGGGGGAGAATGAGCAGCACTGGGAGGAGATGGCAGGGATGGAGTGTGTGTGGACGGGCGGCTCAAGCGTCTAGCACACATTGCACACATCAGCCATCGGAGACGGGAGGGGTGACCCAGCCGTATTTTTCATGCGTCTTCACCAAACTCTTGAAGGTAGCTTCAGCCTCCTTGCGGCTGAATGACTTTTTTGACTTGCCAGCTTTTCTGCAGATCCGTCCCTGTGCGGGATGAAGAGAGGACTCAGGTTAGAAGTTTAGCAGTGATTCTGTCCCACAATGCTACACGAGGTCATGAGTGATGTCTGAATTGATGTGACTTATTGGTTACCTGCAAGGAAGGGGCATTCCTGGGGGAGGGGTGAGGCAGATGCAGGGCATTAGGGACTTAGTACAGAACAGATGGAGGAGTCAGAGGCTGACAAACCTTTAGGGATGGGGGTCAGCTTCACAAACCCGCAGCCTTGGCTTTACCTGAACTCACTCATTTCATGGGGCTTGCAGGCAGCCTCTGTCCCCAATTCACCAGATACACAGGAGGGACCAGCCTGATTAAAAGAGCATCAGTTCAGAGCTCTCCTGGAGCTCTCCTGGGGCACAACGCCTTCCTCCCTTCTTCAACAGAACACCTTTAACTATAACCTCCGAGACCTCTTTGACAGCAGTGGAGACAAATTTATGTATCGATGTGTACATTTATATAGTCGCATGTGCATTTAAAAACTATAGTTTTTAAAATCCAATTAGTGAGTTCCCAGAATTCACATCATTTCAGACCCATTGCATGTGTCCCACAGTGGTGGTAGTCATGAGGGCCAGGGGACAAAGCCAGCCCTGTCATAGTGAGCAGGTGTATTTCGCTCAAGGACTGCAGAGGACCAGAGGGACTGGCTCATCTTTAGGAGGCACAGGAAGCCTGAAGCCTGCAGAGTGTGAGAAACGAGACAGCGGACGACTGTCAATGTGAACAGGCCTTGGAGACCTGGGGCAATGTGATTTACTCAGCACGGGGGGCGCTGACAGAGAACGGTCAGGAGTGAGGTGATGCTGTGTCTCCAGTGGACAGACCTGCTGAGGCTCTTGTTCCAGCCTCGGTGATTCAGCAAGAAGCCTCTTGAGGGCAGATACCTGTCCTTGGACCGCAGGTGCATTTGTTCACGCTGAGCTTTGCCCAGGCTTGTCTTCCTCAGTGCTCACCATGGTGTCATCTAAGATGGAAGAGAAACACCCCCAAAACCTGGCTAGTTCCTGTGTTTGATTGCTAAGGGCTCCTGCTGCTTATGACCTTTCACTAACATTTGTTCTCTCTGAACAGGCCCTCTGCCCTCCTGGTGAGCACTGTTGTTGCTATGGTGCAACTGCATGCTATGCTTTCACTTGGAACCGGGCCTCCTCACCAGTGGCCTCCTCCTCCGTGCTGCAGCCTCGCTTCCTTGGACAGGCACTGAGGGCAGAAGCTACCCAGGTCTGTGCAGCAGAGGCAGACAGTATCCAATAACCTTGGCCTTCTCTGATAATCCTCAGTGGGAGAAGTTGGCCTGGCTTCTGAATCAGTGGCAAATGGTGGTCAGCCCTGAGAAGCTGAGGATGGAAAAGCATCTTGCATACTTGAATTCAGGGCTTCTGCTGCCTTCCCAACACTTGACTTCTCACCAGTGGATATGAGAATGATACCTAGTTGGGGAGGCAGAAATCCTGGAATAATACTCTGTTCCGGTGACAGCCCTCTGGCTTACTTGTCCCTCTGACATCCAGGACAATGACACCCTTTCTAAAGGCTGTCCACTTCAATTAACTGGGCTGCTCAAAAGGAGAAAGAAAACAGAAGAGAAGACAGGGAGCAGCCGATTACTGACTGTTGAGATTTTTCGCCAGGTTTTAGTTCTATAACTGCACACTTTGCTTATGAGGTAATGAAAGGGGACCTCGAAGAGCTAGTACATCTATAACTATCATAGTCCTGGCCTGAGATCAAAGTCGAAAACTATGTCATTAAACTTAGGCAAAGGTGTCTTGGCAGGGGTGTTGCCAGTGAAAGCAGATTCCAAAGGCTGTACTTTTGGGTAAAGTGCATCTTTTAACCATCTCTGTCATTCTTCTCTACAATACTGAAGATTAATGGGATGATTCCAGAATTCTGAATTAACATCCCCAGACAAATGCAGACTGTCAGTAATCCTGGAATAATCTGTTGCTTTTGGCATGAACGTACACTTCGCCTATTCTTTGTGAAAGTCCCAATTGTCACAAGAAACAACAAACAAAACCCTAAGAGAACAAGCCACCCTCTGTTGTCTTTTCTCCCCTGAAGACATCATGAACACAGAACTCAGGGCTTAGTCAATTCAGCAGCCAGGAGGCAGGTCCTTTAGGAGCCAGCCGGGCTCAGCTTTCGCTGCACTTAGCTGTCACTGGAGTGCTCTCAGCCTCTGGGTCCTCCTCCCTCCCTTGCAGGCAACAGATACTTTTCATAGACTGCTTGTCCTCTTCTCATTGGCCACTTCAATATTATGCAGTGAAATGCTGGGTTGGAAAACCAGCATTCTGTCTCCTGGCTCTGCCAGGGCAGCTGAGCTGTTTTTGCTGAAGAGCCCTGTGGTGCCCATGGCTCAGGGAGAGGAAACACATTTCCGGTGTCCCATGGTGACTTTGATGTTTGGGCACCTCCATTCTTCTTCCCAGGATAGTCTCTCAAAATTTGGATTTTTGCAGATTCAAGTGTGGGTCATGCCCATCTTACAGCATCATTAGGGTAGGAAGGCGAATCTGGAAACAATGAACATTTCAAACTGCATACAATTATGTATGAACTGTTTTTTATTCTCATGGCAGCTTCCTCCTGTGTCCAAAATAATCAGAGTCTAGTCTGAGCTATTTCCTTTGAATGTCTCTTGTTTCTTCTCAACAATTGCTACTTGTATTGTATGCTAAAAGACCAAGGTCTTTTATATGACAATCTACATCCCTCACTGCAAGAATTTTGTGTCACCGTCAGAACCAACAACACTCTTGATGAGTGCCACTCTCTCCTGAGGCATGGACTGTGAATGCAGAATTATGAGCACCTCGGGGCTTGCCAACACAACTTAAACCGTCCATGCTGACCCCGACACAGGACAGGATGAATGGGAACACAGGCCTCTGCAAATCCTTTGGGTCTGATCTTTTCCTGCTCTGATTTTTTGGTGCCAGTCAGCACGATTCTGCATGAAGGTATTTCTACACGGCCAAGAGGCTCACAACTGGCCCCAGATGCAAGTCCTCAGTTCAGTTCTCGCTTTTGCACGGTCCGACACACCTACTGTGCATGGGCTTTCAGCTGGGCACTGAGTCGCAGAGTCTCCCTCAATTGTTCTGCACTCCTTGTTCATTCAGCATGTTGGGTGCCAGGTTTAGAAGACAAGGTGGTGCTGCCTTTGGGGTCTGGGAACCATGAAGGGAGATAACGGAGGAATGTTGGAGCTGCTGAGAGAGATGGTGCGTGGTGGGTGCTTGGGTGGGGTGACTGTTGTGGGCTGCCCATGCAGGCAGGTGTGAACAACATGTCTTGCTTCACCACCGGATGCTAGCAGCAGCCCGTGTTACAACAATTAACTTCAAACATTGTCAAATGTGCCCAGGAGGACAGTCTCTTATAACTGAGAATGGCTGTGTATGAACTGGAGACCATCTGGAGCCAGGGAGCGCTCAGCCCTCTCTGTCATTCAGTAAGTGACTTGGGGTCAGGAATGGCGGCATGGTTCCTGGGACTGTGTGGGCCTTTCAAAGACAAAAGAGTCTGGTCCTCATGGACGTGGCTTGGATTCTAGCTTGGGAAAGAAAGAGAAAAAGGAAGGGGAGGGAGAGCAGGGAGAGGAGGGAGAGGAGGGATAGCATTGCCTACGGGTTGGGAAAGATTTCTGTTTGATGGCAGAGAGCTGAGCCTTGAAACACAGCCCGAGTAAAGGCCCAAAATAGTCTGCTGTGCTCAGGGACTGCGAGCAGATGGCTGGTGGGCTTGGGAATAGAATTTTAAGGCTGTGTGTGTGTGTGTGTATGTGTGTGTGTGTGTACGGTGTGGTGTGTGGCGTGCATGTGTGCAGAGTGCAGAAGGAGCTGCAGAAGTCAACAGACCTGACTTCAAATCCTTGCTGCAACACTTCCTGGCTGTGTGACCTTGGTCAAGTTACTTAACCTCTGTGAGCCTCAATTTTCTCATTCGTAAACTAAGCATGATAATAATATTATATGACACTAACTTTTGTGAGGATTTAATAAGCTGAAGCATATATGATGCTTGGATCAGTGCCAGGTCTAGGGTGAACCCAATGAATGGGGCTTTTTAGTTTTTTAAATTTTTATTATTTCTTTTGGTGGGTTTGGGGTTTAAACTCAGGGCTTCATGCTTGCAAAGCAGGTGCTCTACTGCTTGAGCCACATTTCCAGTCCATTTTGCTCTTGTTATTCTGGAGACGGAGTCTCAGGAACTATTTGCCCAGGCTGTCCTGACACTGCAATCCTCCTGATCTCAGCCTCCCAAGTAGCTAGGATTATAGATGTGAGCCATCAGTGACCAGGTGGATTTTTATTTTTTAAACTATCATGGAAAGTTTTAGTCTTTGGTTAATGATTTATTCCGGCCTCTTAAAAAAACCCAAATTTCTGTCTTTTCCTGTGGATACTATGACTTAATGTATTTGGTCACAAAAGTGTCTCAGGCAGATCCAATACACAGTATTTACATGGCTAATCAGCCTTTTAAGTTATGACCATTTTGATTAGTTGATATTGACACATTAATTCCATATTCATATATTATTCTATATTCTACATTTCTTAGGATGTGCTTTTCTTTCTCTTTGCAATCATCCCTTTTTGGTACTTTCGTGTTTCGTTTGCCCATGAGTTATGGTTTCCAGGCTACTGGTTTACAGTTTTGAGGCTCCTGAATGTACTTCCTGAGCCTCAATTACAGAGCTGCTCCTCCTTTGCAAAGTCTTTAGAGGCAATCATTGGTCTAAAAGCACTCAGAAACTCTGTGCTCCCAACATGGGCTTCTAAAATGCTGTGAGCACTGCCACCTGGGGAAGTTGCCTGGAGGAAACAGACACTCACAGCCACTTAGAAGGATGTACACTGGGAAGACTGGACCAGAAATTTCTCTTTTCTTATAAGGTTGGATACTCAAAACAAATCTTAGGGGAAAAAGTATATTTTTCAGTTTCTAGGGACAGATGAGACTT